TGTGCTTCGTGGAAAACATTTTGTTATTGTTGAGGTAAGTTGACTATTTCTCGGGGAAACTGCTAACTGCAGCTCAAACTATCAAACTCTTCTATATTAGGGTCCCATGGGTTGCGGTAAAACGTTTCTGGTGTCTTATGCAGCAAAACAGCTGAATTTGCCGTTGAGGACCATGCAGATGGGAGATCAAGTTGACTCCAAGGTAGGCTTTTCATGATTTATTTTAATGCTGATTTTTCTGATTTTTTTTGTGTTTCGTTTCACCTTGCCAGGGGTCATGTAGTGGCAAGTAGCATGCCTACAACGCGCAGTCCGGTAGTCAAAACATGGATCGGTTCTCGCCTAGGTCAACCAAGCCTTCAACTTTCCAGTGGTGGGTAATTGGCACCAGATTCATGTGGGTGGATAAGAACGCTGACCTGTGTACGGGCTGGCCTCATAAGTAATTGCACAGGCTTCTTCACATTCAGTAAGTCATTACGATCTTGAATGGAAGTGGAATGCGTGCCGTATCCTCAAGGAATTGATCGACGACGAAGGTTTTGCCCTCTTTTTTGGTTCACTATGATGGTGGGCACGCGTGGGTAATGATTTGGACCGCGATGACGCTTTACGACGTTGAAGAACTGAGCGACAGTGCAACGCGGCAGAGAAAGAAGTGCTATCAAATGGTAACCTCGCTTGAAATATTGGCGAGGGTGACGGAACGAAGTGATACCATATCCTCTTGTCGAGCTCAAGTAAGCCTACATGGTCACGTCAACCTGAAGCAGATGCGTGATGTGTAATGCGCTAGTTCTCTATTTTTCATCTACGTGGACACCCTGTAGTTTCCTATTAATTTTGCAGTAACCTCTTCCGCCGATGTGGACACTTGAGGGCCATGTCCAGGTTCACGTCAGCTACCGGTGGTGGACATGATTCTGATAAATGGCTGGAGCTTATATCTCACGATTGTGCCGAACAGCGAACAGGGCCTATTTCTCGCCATTATTAGTTGATCGCAGCCAAATAATACAGCCAACAGTACATTTATCACAATTGTAGTACGGGAAAAGCGAAAGAAGGAATTTTTCTCGGAGTGCATCATCAAAATCCACATCGAATAAGGTGGCAAATGTGCACGAAAGACCCATAGTAAAGTGTTCTTTGTGCTCCTCTTTAGGAGTGATCACCCCCACCTAAGCTTCGGTTGCAACAAGAAAATGCCATTCGTCATTACCGTCAAGCTTGAGATAACCTACGCTACTCTCGTCAGCCTGAAGCAGATGCGGGATTTTCTCGGATGAGTCGTTTACATGCGAGTTCACACTTTATGATGACTTTGATTGTAGGATTGGGATCTTCCTGCTAGGAGTAATTGTCGTGTAAAGTGTGCCATATCAAGGCATACAAAAGCGCTGTGACCAACCCTATTCAAGTAGTCATTCTGGCCCAGTTAGGAAGCTGTAGAATAGGCTGGGCTTGGTCCTGCTTATCGTTTACCGTATATGACCATTTCAGAGCTTATTCGGATCATATCTCTGCACTGAAGCAGCGGGACAGTTCTTGTGGAAGCCGTCTAGTTTTAGCGAAGTTTGTTTCTACTTTTAAAATTATGATTATGTTCTATCAATA